TCATGAATCACATAACTTTCCCCAAATAAAAATGGCATATTTGTATGAGCTAACAAAAATAAATAAACCATGGGAGAACAATGATTAACTATAAACAGCGAAGAAATTGCATAAATAAAATCAGCCCAAAACAAAAACAGCTTAAACACGAAACTACAAAATTGGCTCTCAGACATTTCGTGTATAAAATCAACTTGAACAAGTTATAGAATTACTAAATTTAAATATGATTTTATATTTAAGAATTTATTGGAGGAATCTTGAAACTGTGGTCATGAATATATTATATATTATATATAAAAGGAAGACCGAAAATTAACACTATGTTTTTTTTTTAAATTAATTTTTGAAATAAATTTAACATAATAATATATATTTTTCAAAATAAAAATTTATTTTTATTTAACTACGAATAATTTTAATTTAGTAAAAAATATTATTCTATTTAAAAAATTCTAAGTAATTTTTACTGTTCATATATTGTAATTTAAACACATATAATAATTATTTATAAATTTATAGTTAAAATTATAATCTATCTAATAGATAAAGTATAATTAAAGAGATAATATTTAAAATGATTCTTTATTTAAAATTTTAAATTTAAAAATAAATTTCAATTTTTAATTGGCTATAAAAATATATATAAATTTTAGAATTTATATAATATGCAAATTTTTAGTCATTTGTTTCTCACAACTCATTTATCACACGTATTTTTCATATTATTATTATACTTTTTTACTTTTATAAAGCTTTACTAAATTTACTTTTTGTATAAGTATAAAAACTTCTTCTAAATTTATCAAACTAAAAATCTAGCTGGCTCTAAGACAAATAATAAGAATAACTGAAATCACATATTTTGCTCATTAGAATAATCTGATAAATACTTATTTTCTTTTTCTTTTTTTTAATTAAAGAAAAGTACAAACGACGACGATCGCCTTTTCAATTTCATTATTTGGGCCCTTTCTGAATTGAAGATCTTCAGCAACGACTTTAGTTGTTCAAATCAAACACACACACCCCATAAGCCGCTGCAAATAAATAATTATCGACCAATAGTCACAATAGCAGATTATTTCAGTCTTATTATTAATTATTGTAAATTGATAAATTACAGACAGTACTGATAGGGTCCAGCCTTGGGAGCATGGTGATTGTAACCACCATGAAACGACGTCGTTTAGCAGCAACAGCAAACGTGATCCAAGCAACACTCACAAGACTCGTAGCAGCAGAAACAGCAACATAACGCGAACAGACTAGACTCAGTCAAAAGAGAGAGAATCAGATCCCCAAATTAATTCTTGAAAATTATATGTTCGTACACCATTAAATTCTGAACAAAGTAACTGGGTTTTCTATATTGC